TGCTCTAAAGTTGGCACAGGCTGCAGACTCCCAGCCTGGCCCTTTAGCTCCACCTGTGACTCGAGTTCAGAAATAGTGTGGAATTTCATAAAGTCTTTTATCATGCGAGTTTCTTTTAATGCTTTATCTTGGTAATAGGAGATGAGCATCGACTTCCTCTAGAATAATAAAAGGAAGGAGTGTTTCCTTCTCTTACATGCCAGCTTCTGTTTGGAGGACAAAAAAAAAAAAACAAAAACAAAAAAAAAAACTGCTAGAACAAGCAACTTGTAATTACAGGGGAAGGCTCCTACACAGATTTCCTGATAGAATTTCTGGGTTTGAAATGGTGTGAAACTGTTATGTAGTTTCCATTGCAGAGGATCATAGAGAGCTTGTTTGCATGTATCTAGATATGGCCTAATACCCTGTCTCAGATCTATGGCATGGACAAAAAAAAAAAAAGTCCTTGCATATGGGTGTGTGCATTATTCCTTTATGTTATCCCTAATGTTGATTACTCATTCTAAATATTTACCTTCTTTCTTTCCTGTGCTATGATATGCTGTGGCACCATTAACATAACGCTATTGCTTGCTGTCAAAGTTTGCACATGAATTTTCCACAGTGAAGGTTGCCTTTTAGCACCAGCTTGATGTAACAAGTGCTTGGAGAGAGAAACAAAGTAGAAATTCCATGCAAAACCCAGTATATTCCATTATTGAAGAGCTTTTAATGTTAAAAGCAGGGAAGCGTCAAGCTAACAAACAAGATTTTAGAGTTACTGAGCAATGAGTGAGTAACTGAGGAAGTTGTCTGTACTTTGGAAAGTTGAATTGCTTCCAGTTTTTATCTTCCCTCAGACAGGGTATGGCCTACACATGTGGTCTAGACTTAATTACCTGGGTGTAATAATCATGGGACGTGTTCACGTTTCATCACCCGGAGCACATCTAGAGACGAGAGGTTTATGCCATCAGAACAAAATTAGGAATGTCAAGTAATGAAGCTTGAAATAATGAAACTTGCTTGCACTTGAAACATCAGAAAACATAGGCGTTCATTTTTTCAGAAAGGCCTGTTAAATTTCATTTTTATCAGCATTTTTTAAAATTGTTTTTTTTGCCTTCAATTGAAAGCAGTCTTCATGACTGCTACCTTGTTGATGTTTTGTGAAGACAGGTGACAGCAAGTTGTGCTGATCCTTACAGTGCCACGGTTTTGCTGAACTGAAACCAGTGACCTCAAGTTAAATTCCCTCTGCTCAGCCTCTGCAGGGTGTTGTGCAGGGTGTTTGCATGATTATTCCTGTGTCCTTCGCTACCTGAAGCCCATCAGCCAAATGCTACCGTAGGCCCTGAAACTAGTGCTCTGTGAAAGGTTTTACAAAATTCCCCCAAAGGTGCAAATCTCTATGATGGCTGAGGAGACGTGTGGGGAAAAGCAATATTTAGACATAAGTCTGCAAGAAGTTTATAGGGTTTTTCTCTTTTTATTTCAGATACCCCGAAACAGCAGCCGTTGCGTTGTTTTTTGGCCTGACTTTAGTTCTATCATTACTGCTTCAGTCCTTGATAAGGGTTCAGGCTAACCACGTGATTTAACCTGACTTTCTCCATAAATGAGGCAGCTTGGGTGGGAGCTGGGCTGTTCTGTACATAGCAATTATGTTTTGGGGGGAAATAGCCCCAAATGCTTAAATACTTCCAAACTCTTAAAACAGCGATTCTGTTCTGCCTCCACGCTTGCTATCCTGCAGCATTGCAGTATAAGCAACAATTTACAAAAGCACTGCAGAAATAAGGCAATTTATTTCTTTTTTGTCTCAGAAATAGTGTGCCTTTGCACAGCTCTGTGGTGGTGGTAAGTGGTTGAAGGTTAAAGAAAAGCCTGTTGCTTGGGATGCATTTGTTACTGCATTTCTGTATGATAGAATTTCGTGGTGCCTTATAGTTATGTGGGTAGCACAGAAGGACTTATACGCACAAAGTTTGTCTTCCATAGGATGTGGTTTTGTTACAGGTTGATAGGAATTTACACAGGAATGTGTTATGTGTTAAGGTTAGGTTGCCTTAACAGAATTCAGGCAGCAAAGCAGGGAAGTAGGAATATCCTGTGCATGAATGCAAGGTCGTTCTGGAGCACGTGCTGGAGCGGTACCATTATACTTTATTGATGGACATTTGATCCATGCTATAAGGGCACTCGGATGTCATTTAATAGTATTGCCCACAGAAACTTTCTGCATCTTTCTGTGGATATCGATTTTAGTGGTTTTACATAAAGCAATTGAAGTAGTTCTACGGGAAAGGTAGTTTTTAAACTTGCATCAATTATTAATTTTGCTCCCTACAGACGACCCGATGTGTCCGTAGTCAGCTGTATTTATACTGATGGTTATCTATTATTCTTTAAGTGGTGTCATTTCAGAGCCCAAAATGCTTTATGCCCCAGTCTAAGAGTCTAGAGGTTTTATATCATGTATATATACACACACACACACACACACACATCATAGATAGTTTTTATGTGTACATATATGGGAACTTGTTCAGGGAGGAAGGGAAAAGGGAGGCAGCTGCTGTTAGAAAGTGCGTGTGGTTTGTTGGCTCACGCAGCGTGCGCTGAGGTTCCTCCCTTCCACTTTCTCTCGTGCCCTGTTCCTCTCGTCCTGCCTCCCGCTGGCCCTGCAGCTGTGTCACACTTGTCGCGTCCAAACCAAGTGAAAGGGCTGCTCTTAATAAAGTTTTCGTGCCTTGTTTTGGAGAGGAAGCTGAGGGAATCGCTTCAGCAGTCAGTGTCACCTCGCCTTGGAAGATGAGCGAGTTGTCTGTTCTTCCTAGCAGTGGCTTTGAGGTTTCGGAGGATGTCACCATGATTCAAACAACCGCGGAGCTGGGGCGTGCAGGCTCCTTCCTTGGACTCTTCTGCAGAAATAGGGCCAGACCCTGCGTAAGAGTCTGGCTCATTGCAAAGTCCTTCCCCAAAATAGCCTCTCTTTATTTTTATTTTTTTTTTCAGAAAACTTTGTTTTGATCTATCAGTGTCCTTTTTCTTCAGTAAAAAAATTTCTTTCTTACAAAGCACTGGAACAAAAAGCAAAAAGGAAAATCCTACGTTTCTATGCCAGGTGTAAGATAAAATGGCCAGATTCAAGGCAGGGCATGAAAGGACTTCTCTGAATTACAAGGAGCAGTTGTTGAGGGGATGGCGAGCTCATGATGGGTGTTGAAAGCAGGTTATTCATCCACCTGGAGAAGGTCTCTGCATTTAACAAATATTGTCAGCTTTGATCAGAATCTATGGTAGTTTGGTTAAAGATCCCCCATGTTGTCCAGAATTTTTTTGCATTATTATTATTATTAAATTATTTTTCCTTTTCCTTTACCTCTGCAAAATTAATTCCAGGGTAGATTGGAGGAACCACATGCTGCACAGGGCTGGGGACAGTGATTTCTCTTGATTAAACTCGCAGGGGTCTCTTCCACCACAACCTTTTTTCATGCCAATTTCACTGTGCATGCTTCAAGTATGGGGTTTTTTTTTAGCAGAATTGTGCTTGGGTATGCAGAGGCAGAAACACTGGTATGAATTAGACCTTTACCTTGATGTCTGCAAAGGATTTTCTCTGTTATCAAATGCTGTGTGCCCAGTTCATGTCAGATCTGCTGCTGTTATTTCAAAGGAAGACCCTGATATATAAGGGAAAAAAAAAAAAAAAACATTCAAATCCTGCCTGGTAACTTTGGGAAACTATCTACTAGAGTATCTGGAAGGAAAAGCAAGTGTCTGTGATGCATATCTGAAGTCGCTATTTCCAAGATTTTAATGGAAACTATTAATTTCATTTCGTGCCTAAGTAACCATTTGTCAGCTTTCATTAGAAATATGTCACAAGTTTTTGTGCTGCAAGGACTGGAAGATAAATCAGGTATTTTTGTCAGAAGGGATATGTGAGCTGCTGAGGTCAAGGTGTCAGGAGGATGCATCATTTTCAGGTTTAAAAAATTAAAAAGTTATTAACATAAATCACTGTACATCTTTCTGAAAGTAATTTGCATTCTAGAATTTTAAAGATGCAATTATGTTTCTTCTAGTGTGAAAGTCTCCTTTATAAGGATGTTCTTTATAGGAAGAATAGTCTCCAAAGCAAATATAAAACTGATCTTTGTTTCTGGTTTGTCATTTTCGGTCTTTTGGTTCCGTTGTTCTTTTCTGCTTCTACCTTAAAATGGTACCATTGCTTATTAATAATCAATAATCCCGGGGAACTCCCCCACCCTTTAAAGTGGCTTGGGAATATGTCTTGTTGTGCATCAATTAGTTAAAGCTCTTGGTATAGCTCTTAGCAAAGAGATCTTCCAGTGCACCTTCCTTCTCGGTGCAGTCACCTGCAGTTCCTGGTACCGATGTGCCCTGGAGCTGGGTTTCAGCACCAGCTCTGAAATGTTGCTCTTAGGCCCCTGCTTTTGTGGGTCAGACACTTGGCTGGGCTGTGAAAACCCATGAAAAAAAGGCAAAAGGCATGTGGGGGGCAGTGGGTTTGGTCTTGAGTGTGTCCTCAGGGTGGTTTGCCTGCGGTTGTACCTACACAGCTATTGCTGCTTTGTGCACCTTGTTGTGACTAAGAACCCCTGGATTGAGAAGCTGTGGTTGAGGATTAGTTGTACTGGACAGAACCCAAAGGAACTAGATTCAGATTTGTGGCACAATGAATTATCAAGAAACTGGCTAGGCTTAAAATATACAGACTTTGATTAAAAATATATGTTTAAATGTATTTAAAATATTTTAAGTGCTTTAAAAATATTTTAAATATGTACTGCAAAATGTGATTTGTTTTTTATTATTTTCTATTTTTTTCCTTTACAGAATGACTTGGGTGTATACTTTTCCTCAAGCTTGCTTACATCCACACTGTGTGCAGTATGCTGTCTTGCAGGATAAGGCCATCTATATGAATAGTAATTGCCATTATGAAGGTGGTGGCTCATGATATATCATGTCTTTTTCGTTGGCAGGTTCCAGTTGCACACTGTTTTGGGCCTCCAGGACATTATAAAAGAAAGTTTTGCACTGTGTGCAGAAAGTCTCTAGATTCGCCTGCTTTTCGATGCGAAGGTAACGTCCTACCTACTTACAGAGCTGCCTGTTTCCCAGCAATGTGCACTTTGCTTATGTATAAATATATGTATATATAAGAACATGCACACACGAGGTGGAATGAATGCCAGGGGAAAAGTTATCTATGTCTTTATTGCATTTGTGGGACTTGGTTTGTTTATCGTAGTGTCAAACACGGATACTGTCTTTAATGATTCCTCCAATTTCCTTTGAGGGGAGCTGTGATTTTGGCAGTGTGCTGTGAGCCTGTGCTTGGCTTGGGAGGTATGAAGGATGAGATGCTGTTACTGCAAAATAAGGACGACTTCTTCTAGTGGAGTGATTTATTTCAGTTTTCCACTGGAAGCCTTGGCTATAGGGGATCATCTGGTACTCATGTTTCTGAAACCTCCTCCTTCTTGCAAAAGGATAGAATATAACTTTTCTCTGTGTTGGCAGTCTCAGAAATTCATCCCTTGCCAAGGGGATAAAGTGCCTTAGGTGGAAAGGTATTTGAAAATATTATCTGTCAAAATAATATTGCTTTGGGTGTTCTGGCATAGGCTCTCATAACAATAATCAAACAAATCACCCTAACGATAGAATTTCAGAATATACTGATGGGAAATACATGGCACAAATCCCTGCTTTTGATTTGGGGCAGTTCTTTAGTACTTTCTTGTGTTCTGTGAATTCCCTGAGTTTCTAATGCTCTTATAGCATTAGAGTGAGATTGAAGATAGTTCACTGTTTTATGTTTTAGAAGACTGTTGTCTGTGAACCATTTTAAAAAACTATTTTTAATATATATATATAATACATATATACATGCATACACATATATATATCCACACGCACAAAAAAAAAATCCATACGCATTTGAGATGCTAAAATTGCTATTGTGCTAAAAACACTGTCTTATTTGTTTTGGTTGTTTACATGTGTGTAGAGGAAATATTTGTCTTTGATAAGGCAATGTGAAGCCATAGAGGCCATTGTTTTTGTTCCTGGTTTTATCTTGTGAGTTGCACAAAGAATGTAAAATACAGTCTCATCAGAGTCTGTCACTCAGACATGATTATTGCATATATTGCATGAATTGGTGGGATGATCTTTTCAGATGACCTGCGTTTATAAGTTTTAGAGCTGATATCCGGCGTTAAAGAAGCATAACAAATTTCGAAAAAAAAAATAGTTAGCAGTTGTCTCATGTTCTAAACATTCTAACATTTCAAATGTTAGAACATTTTTATCTGGTTCAGCAAAGGTTAGAAAGCTGTGTTCCTAGTATGGATTAAACAGAAGTTTTGTTTTTTGTGGTATGATTTTGTATAGTAGTAAGTCTACATGTTTTCTTTGACTTTTTTGCCAAATATGGTTTAAAAATGGTTGTTGAGTCCCTAGAACATAAAAAGAATTTTCTTGTACTATCTAAAACTATTGTTAGAATTTGTTTTAAAACTCATCTGTTTAAAAAATGGAAAGCTTTTAAATTTAGACACTAAATTTTCCTTTTGCTTACTTCTGATGACAGTGCTTAATAGTGCAAGTCAGCTGTCACTTAAGATGTTCTTTTCTAATTTTTCAACAAACACTTTTAAATTTCCATCTCGGCCATAACTGAGGTACAAAATGAGGCAGGAGGGCACTAAGATGAAATTACTTTTTTTGGCAAACATTTGATATTAGATCCATTCAAAATAAATATTTTATATTCTTCACCCTTTAGTTTGTGTGTGTGTGTGTGATTTTCAAGCTTTTACTTGTAAAGAAAGTGAAAAAATTCAGACAAACTCTGTGAGTGGGTCTTAAACCTCTGTTCTGGAAATTAAGCACATATGAATATTACGCTGTAGTGTGATGAAGTACCTGCACTGCTTAGGCAAAAACTGTTGTGGTGTTTGAACTCCAACTCTGTTGAAAATTACTCATGTGCTGTTTTTGCTGCAGAATGCTCTGGTAACAGCTTCAACAAAATTAAAGCTGGTTTGATTGATAATAGCTGGTGTTCCTCTTGGTTTTCTTTCCAAGAAGAAAGGCTGGAAAGAAAAAAGGAGAAAAGGGAGGAACCCAAACATTTGTTAGTGTTGGATCTCTTGTAAAAGTTTGCTTTAAGTATCAATCAGGAGTAGCAAATTGCTTGTTTGTAAAAATTTTGCTTAAAGCATGTTTTTTTTAAAAAAAGAGAGAGCAGCAGTTAAAAACATTTAAAAGATTGTTCTGCCAAGTTGATCCATCTCAAATAAACCATCTTGATTGTTGGCCTCTAGGAAGGAATTCACAGCACTTCTTGATGAACAGAATATCCTCATTTGGATGCGAATTAAAAAACTCTAGCTCAGGGAAGTGCTGCTAAAAATGAAACTCTTTTTTTGCACTTTACACACTTTTTGAGCTTTACACACCACCAGCTGTGTCTTTCTTATCTTGGGAGTGTTGTGGACCCTATCTCAAGGGTATTTTTTTAACTCCTTCTGTGCCACTGCTGCCCTTCACGTGCACACTTCTTTGTTACTAACTGTGTTGGGGGCTGTGTAAGAAGCAGCAGATACATCTTAAAGCAGAGGGAAAAAGAAAGTGTTGTGCTTGCATTAGCAGAATCAATGATAAAGCACTTTTGTTAACTCTTTGAAGACATAATTTGGTTTAGAGAAATTCTTAGTAAGGGCACAGGGCAAAGAATCTAACTTGCCCTTGAGCTAGGCTTTTGCAGAACTGTGAAATATTTGTGTTAAATCCAAGGGTATTTAGAGATCTCTGAAGTAGTAAGGCTTGTGTGATTGTGGGGCTATGTAAAAAATCTGTGGTTGAGTTGGTAATATCTGTTAAAATAGGTTTGCTTTTGTGTGGTAGCTCGTGGTTTCTGCAGCATTCAAGCAAGGCAGCATTAGCACTGACTGCCTTTCCTAGAGCTTGCAGATTGACTTCAAAATGAGCTGTTATGCTCTGGGTAATTTAATGCTCTTTTCAAGATACTTTCGGATAGGATGACTAACGTTCGCAGTGGCCTCTGTCCAATATTTAGCTCTTCATCTTCAGATGTTTCTGATACGCTTGAAACAATGACTTGTTTGAGCAGAACCCAAACAAACAAAAAAACATGAAGAATTTCAACCTCGACTCATTTCATTTACTGAAAGCAAAATCGGATTCCTTCACAGAGTACTTGCATGTACAGCTCTTCAAAAGGCAGCTGGAGCTATCTTTTTTTATACATAACCATTTACAAGATCCTTAGAAAACATCTGTAATGCCTATAGTTACGAAACTAGGCATTGCGTTTCTTATTTGCTGATTTTGTTGATGATGATCTTGTTTGTTTTCTAAATGATCTGTTACTTGGAATATGGCATTTTTGCTTTTTTATCCCATCTAATTCAGAATTATTCTGGATTCTCCCTTCTCTTATACTTGAAACTTTAAGTCATCTTTTTAAAAAATGGAAGTACTTCATTTAAAAAAAAAAAAAAGAAAAAAACTTGCATAAAGCCTGATAGAGTTTCTTGTAGTTAAAAGGTCCAATAAACTTGCTTAATGTTGCCTTCTGAAATATTTAGAAAAATACTCTTTAAAGAAAAAGAAATAAACACAACATTTTCTTTCTCCCAGCAATGAATTGCAGTGTGCAAAGACAGCTTGAACAAAGCTCCTGTCATCTGAGTGTACCAGTTTATTCTAACTGTGTTTAAAGCTAAATCCTCTGAATGCCATTTAATGGCAAAGGGGATTTGTTTCCCGAGTAATATTTCCTTTTTGGCTGTTGGGAGTCTCCCTGTGAATCTAGTTGTCCAAACAGTTTACGTTTCGACCTTTTTTTTTTTTTTTTTTTTTTTTATTTTTTTTGTCGCATCACCTTGCAAATAGCAGAAATGAATGAGATGCATTGGAAAATACTCACTTTATCAGCTGTGTGGGAAACGTGAGTGTTGTACTCGTGCTGTTGGTGCAGTTGGGCAACATCTCAGAGCAGTAATCCCTGTGTGTCTGTTGAGTATGCTCAGTTCCTGTTTGTTTCCAGGTGGCTCTGAGGCTAGAGATCTGGATTATTTGGGCTCTCGGGAGAGCCTGTTTTGCTTTGACAGGCTCCTGGAAAGCCACCGTGCAGGACAGCAGCATTTGGTAATGAGGGTGGTTTCCTGAGGACCATTATGTCTGAGGACTTAGGGCTTGATGACATTTGGATGCGGATGAAAGGCTTTCTGTTAATAAGGGTCTCATAACCCTGGATGTTTTTTTAGATATGATTAAATCAAAGCGAGCTTGAAATGCAATAAATTGTTACGTTAGGAGAGGCAGCCGTTCCTGTGAAACGGTGAGACAAGCTGTAGAAAGCCAGATGGTGGTTACAGATTTAACTTTCCGTACTGGAGGAGATATGGTGAGTACTTGTGAGTGTAATTAATCTTTGTCTTTTCTTGTATTTGCTAGCTGTATATCAGTTTAACATGCAGGAGGTTGAACAACACCCTGGCACTAGTGATAAGCTGCTTCTGTTGTCTGCTGAACAGAAAAGAGCATAAAGGGAAGAAAACAAGGTGCCAGAGAGCAGCAAAGAAAGGATGAGGGGACAGAGGAACAAGCTGCAAAACGCAGGCATTCAAACTCAAAGAAGTTCTTCTTATTTTCGTGTTTTTTAGTTTGTGAGCTACATGTGCATACCGATTGTATCCTGTTTGCTTGTAGTGACTGCCGGCAGTGTCACCAGGATGGACACCAGGACCATGTAAGTACCAACACCCATGTGGCAGAGCAGACTGCATTTTTCGGTGTGAAAACAAGGGCTATGATACAGAAGAGGTCTCGGCCTCTTCTTTTCTTACAAAGCGCTCTCATTGCTTACTTGCAGGTAAAGGGGATGTGTAGCTTCAGCAAGCATGTTGCAAACAGTGAGATGAACTTAAATTCCAATAAATACATCTATTCATGATGTTTATGGAAGGGTTACTGCAGTGCCTGTGCCACACTGTAATTAGGAAAATGGAAAAAAAAGGAAAAAAAAAACCAGCATTTTAACATAATAATATTGATAAAGTCTAGTCTGTTCGAATTACCCATTTGATAGCTGGGACAAAGATGGTCCAGCATCCTGTGTTCAGTGTGATGCTTAAACGTGTTGTGTTTTCCCAGGATACTTACCACCATCATTGGAGGGAGGGAAATCTCTCTTCAAGTGCTCGCTGTGAAGTTTGCAAAAAAACCTGTGGCTCCTCCGAGGTGCTGTCTGGCATGAGATGCGAATGGTGCGGCATTCTGGTATGTATCCTTGGGCGTGTTTATGAGAAAAATGTGTTAAATATTAATAGGGTTTTCAGGCTATGACTAATTCTGGAGCTGGTGATATTTGTGTTGGATGGAAAGACTGACTTTTTTAAAATTTTATTTACTTTTAGTCATTAAATGGGGCATCACAGTTTAACTTCAAATTTAAATTCAGTCGGACTTAGGATTTTCCCCTTACAAGGGTGTTATTGCTTGTGCTGTGTGAAATCAGAATTACTTTTAAGTCACATGCATTATGTAAGGTCAAAGGCATGGCATTTTAACAAACTTAATCCTCTTTCAGTGTAGCATACTCTTAAACCATGAGTTTTATTAGTACAGACTGTTGGTTTCTACATTTTTCCTTTTGCGTGACTTTTGTCTTGATTCCTGTGCAACGTCATGGTATCCTTTAATAATCCTCAAGAAAGCCACATCTTTTAAATTACTAATGTATAAATCTGCTGTGTAGATAGAAAATGGTCCATCCAGTGAATACTGCCTGCTCATGAAGTATAACTGCAGTGCCAAGGAGCAGGAGATGGGTGGCAAGTTAAAAGTATATCTGATAATAAAATTATTAATCTGCCTCTTAATACACACAGAATCACACTGAATGACTGAGGTTGGAAGGGACCTCTAGAGATCATCTAGTCCGACCCCCTGCTCAAATACAAGGAGGCTCCTTATGTTATAGCCATCTAGAACAAAAAGTGGAGGTTATTCAGGATTTTGGGTGTGATTTGAGTCATTTTAAAATAGTCTTAGTGCTTTTTTGCTTTTCTAATGTGATTTATAATTTCTGGGGTGGGGGACGCTGATTTTGAGAATAGACTAACACATGCAACATGCTGTAAGGGCACATGCATGAAAGTGTGTATAGCCAATGCTGACTGAAGATAGAGCACGAAGCGGAAACTAGTCAGTTAGGCCTTAGTAAATACCCTGAAACCTCTATAAATTTGCAAGTGGTGCACCTATGGAAGAAGATAATACTGTTTTCAAGCTCTTAACTCATCCACCTCTCTATCTTCTGTCCTGCCCCAGCTTTCCCATAAATATACATATAGAATGTAAGATTTGGGGCTTGAGACTCATCATATTAATCTTTTCTAGAGAGCTGTCTAAAGGTCCTTAGTTTATAATAAAGCAGGTTTGTAATACATGGGATTTCTTCATGTTTTCTTCATAAAAGCCTAACGGAACCAATTAAAATTTGGTGTGAAAATGGCTCGCATAGCTCACTGAAACTTAAGTGATTTCTAGGTGACTAAGTATTCCAGGCTGATTTTTTTTTTCCAGTAACAGTGCATATTGTGTTACAAACGTTTTAATTTTCTTGGTGTTTTGAAACATGCTTAACCCGTGTGCTTCTGTTCATAGGCACATGCTGCTTGCTACGTAATTGTCACACCACAATGTACTTTTGGAAGATTAAGGAATATGATTCTTCCTCCAAACTGCGTGCGATTATATTCTCGCAACTTCAGCAAACTGCATTGCTTTCGTATATCAGAGAACTTGCAAGCAGAACCAGGTAAAAGCTTTTGTAGCTGATTGCTACTAATTGCTGAGTGTGTTTAACCTAGGGTTATATTTCACTGAAAAATGCTAATTTTGCATTGTCTTTTGAGGATGTACTGTCACCTTTCGCTAATTCTGGTTAGGACAGGATGTAGATTCTAAATGCAGACTGCTCAGAATTCTTCAACTTTATTGTTTTCAGGGCAGATTTGAAAGCTTTGCTTCTGGGGAATGTGTGTGTGTGTATGCTTGCTACCAAAGCATATATGTATTTTAAATCAATATATACATATATATCTTCATATAAAATATATATATACTTATATATGTAATATATATTTCAAGATATATATATATATATATAATCAAGATATATGAAGACATATGGCTTGATTTTTAGGGTTTCTTTCCAAGAAACCTGGAGTTAAAACTTGTGAACAGTTTACTATGCTTGCAAGACTTAAGATGGGACTCATAAATAAGAATTTGAATAAAACCTCCTCTTATGTTACAGTTCATAGTATTTCGGCAAAAATTGAGAGGGCAGTGATGAACCCATTTTCAGTGCAGTTTTTTTATCTGCTGTCTTTCTCTGTACATGCATACCTTAATCCTGAAATTATTCAAGATAACTCAGAAACCATGCCTAAAAAAGAAAAAAAAAAGAAAGAAAAAAAAAAACATAATAAACCTCAGGATTGACAGTGTGATTGGTAGATTAGTGTTGTTGCAAATGCTTGCTGATACACAAGCTGCCTTTTGTTTGGGATATCCTGTGTAAAAAATACTTCTGTTTCCTTGTTTGAGCGTTTGCCCTTTCAGGATTTCTGTGCTGAAGGGAAATCATTCGTTTATCAACATAACGTTGTACTGCCATCTAGAGTACAGGTTGGCCCAGCAAGTCTTCTCCTACTGCTTCTTAAAGTAGCTGAAATACCTTTTTCTTTACATTTTGACCATCATGGTCTTGTAATGCTTTTCTCTGTGCGTAAATTTACGAGGAAAATCTGGGTAAGGTAGGTCTTGGAAATTAAATGTTATAATATGCCTATTGCAGATATACCTAAGGGCCTAGAAAAGCCTGCAAGGGGGAGGAGGTCTTGTTTCCTTTGCTTATTGGTTGATCTTTTTTTCTCATGTTTTTGATCTCTTGTTAAACTTCTTTGCTGGGGAGGAGAGGTAGCAATGGCTAGAGAAATAAAACAGATGCTTGAAAATCAACATGATTTTGATACTTCCAACATGATAAATACCAGAAATATACAATCTGGATCAATTATTGCTACATGTTAGAAAATTTCCCAAATCTTTCTTCAAGATAATTTTATCTTATTGTCAAGAGAAGTTGAGCCCAGTTTATTTTTAAAAGTCTCATTCTGGTGTCTATTCTGATGTTATCTAGGTTTTTCTTTCAAACAGAGGGCTTTTCTCATTATGTTTTCATTTTCTCATAATGCTTAATCCTGTTTTTGGAATGTGTCCTCTGAAATTCAAGAGTGAAGAGCGAATCAGAAATTAACTGATGGCTAGGAGCAGACGTGAGGGGAAAGGGAAATATTCAGTAACTTGATTAGGACTCTTTCTGCTACCCTAATGCACTGTGACCTGCATCCTTTTGGGCTGGATGGCTGCCTGTGGCACTTGCCATCTCGGTGGCTGTTTTGGTTTTGTTTTGGTCGGTTGGGGTTTTCTTGAGTAACCAGTGCCTGCCTTGCCTTGTATGGGGCGTTTCTCTGTTTTTCCTTAAGTCGTGGTGGTGTATGACCTTTATCAAGGTACAGCTTCGGTGTCATGGTGCTTGGCACTGTGCAGGTTTGTGACATTTAGACCATATTGTCTACATTTCTCTCTACTTAGAAGCTTAATCTGCCACTCTGTAACAGGAAAAACAATGCAACTCTTTTATACTTTAAAAACTCAAATTCCTTGGCACTATTATTAGTGTCTCTCACAGTCTACTAAAGCACTACCCACATATTCAGCAAATTACCTGTTCATCAGCTTGAGTTCTGCTAAATGCCCTCTCTAACGTGCTGTAATTCTGCTTCTTGGAGGATTTTGGATTCTACTAGTATCTCCCCCCTCTTTAAGATTTTCTTTACAGATCTTTTTTTTTCTTATTTTGTGAGTCAGTTTCCTGCCCATACCCCACACCTGTAAGGCAGAGTTTTGGCAGATGTGATGCCAGGCTTGTTTTGGGGAAGCTTTGTGTCCTTCCCAAACAAATAAAGGAGCTTCGGTGGGCAGGAGGCTGAAGTGCATGGGTACCATTTTTAACATGAGCATCTTTAGCTGGGTTGGCTTACATCTACCAGGCTTTTTAATATGCGCTCACTGTGGTTATATGACTCTGCAGGTTTTTGTTTTATGCAGTTTTTGAAGGAGGGATTTTTATCGTAAAATAACTAAAAGAGTGTCGTTGTCTGATGTGATAGGATTCTTTTTTTGCTTTGTTAATCTTCTATAAAGACTTAAATGACAACTTTTTTTTTTCTTATCTCATTCAAATTAAAAAGAGCTCTTAATGTTTATTTTCCACAGATGAAGATGATGATTTTGATGGGTCAACCCCAGGGTCAACAAAAGATGTCCAAACTTCTACAGATTCAAGTAAGTAATTCTTTTTCTAAGTCCATATTGACCCATTCTGGTCTTTATTCATAAAGTTTTGATTTGTTTTTCTTTATGAAATAGGACATGAATATTCTTGTAATGATAGGTGTCAGTTTGGGATCCTGAGTCTGGGTCCATCGCACATCAAGGTCTTATCAACTCTCTCATCTCTATTTCCTGTTGGTAGATTATTTTGGCATTAAGTGTCAGTCTGTTCATTAGCCTGTCAAACACATCACAGAAGAAGGCTTTCCCCAAACCTTCTTTCTACAGGTCAGTACCACTGCACTAAATTGTTTTGGAAAAGAGCATGCTTCATAAATTACAGTTAGACATTTCTCTCGGAAAAATAATTGAAGAAAGAAATTATGGTATTAACGATGAAAAAAAAAAAAAGAAGGGAGGAAAACAAAAAAAAGAGTGTAATAGGCAGGCAGAATGTCTTTTCTAAGTCTTTTTCCTTTAAGATGTCTGGTCCAAATCTTATTGAAGACATCGTGGGCATTTTTGGCTTTGCTCAGGCATGGACCAGTGCATCAGGATTGAGGTCAGCTGGCTGCTCCTTATGTAGTTCTCATGCCTGTATTAGCCATACTTGTCCTTTTCTGAAGAATTAACTCAGTCTGCACTTTGAGGGGGGAAAAAACCCACCTCCTGAACTATATACTTATTAGAAACTAGAAAAATATGATATTTTCCGCGTCATGTAGTTATGTGAATGATTCTGAAAACAGAAATTGTAAAACAATGAATGTGACTTGTTTGCTTGTTTCCTTTTAGCAAAGAGTGCTTTCAAAATCAATATTCTATTGATTGAAATAGAATAGTGAAAATCCTGTTCTGCCAGTTCTGGTTTAAATAATAATAAAAAAGTTATATTGAATATAAATAAGTTTTGATGGACCACCATGCTTCTTATTACAGGAACGAGACACTGAGTTACTGTGTTTTTCTAAGAAACTTTCACCTTCTTTATTAGCCTTTTATGTGACATAAGTAGTTGAATGTCAGGGCTTTTGTCCTTATCAACCAGGGCTAATTCCTTTACTTATGATCATCAAAAGGCAGAAAATCTAGATCTTGTTATCTAGATAATGTAATTGTAAATGGTAAAAAGTACTCATGCAGGACTGTTCAGCTTTAGACATCCTTTCCAAGAGAAGAAAGAAAAAGATGCTAAAATTCACAACTGCAAATAAACTCGAATTTGCCTTTTGTTCGTGTCTACTGTCCCTCAGCAAACTGGAAAAAGCACAAATAGATGGCATATTTTATAAGGTTATATTGGACAGGTAGCGGCGGCGGTGCAGGGACAAAAACTACTTCTCTGTTAAATATAATGATACTGAAACTTCTCCTCAAGCCACCTTTATCCCCACTCTTCCCCAACTCTGGTCTTCTCCCTAACCATAGGAGTTGCTGTGTTTAAGGGTACCTTATCCTTAAACAGAGTAAGTTTTGTATCGCCCCCAAATTCTCCTGCTTCCACGAGTCCATTACCGTTTGGACAGCAATTCCCTCTCAGTCTCTGAGGTGCCACCCTTGGACCAAGAGGGCCCAGAGCTCTCCATGCTCCTTTGTGTGTGTGTCTGTAATTTAACATATTAAACATGGCAGAGGCCTCACCATAGCACCTCTTTTATCTATTTCTAGATAATACCATTTAGGTAACACAGGTGAAGAACAAGCTATTAATAACTTCTGTGTGTTGCCTTGGTATCTTTGCCTCATCTCTTTGGGATGTTACCACACTTTACTTCAAGAGTGACCGAACTGAGTAATATTCTAGAAGGTTATAGGTTTTCCTTAATTCCAGCTCTCCAGGTGTTACTGATTTAAATCTTTAAAAACAGTGAAAATAACTCAGAATAAATTGGATAATCCTGGCTTGCAAGCAGATGTCAAACTTAGTTTAAGAAAGAAACAAATGGGAGTGGAAACTCTGTAGAATAATAATAGAAAAAAGTTTACATTAGCAGCTTCTGGTCTCTTTTTTTCTGTTGTTGTTCTTGCTCTTTAATACGATTGTTGCGTGAAATAGAAAGATAATTTCAAACCTTTAGGCTTGAGAGCTTAGATATGTTGTGTTGGTCAACCATAAAAATTGGCATAACAAGATAATGAAGTCAAAAGTATAAAATGACCTTAAAAACAATCCTGCATTTTTTTTTACTTCTGAGATGATTGATTTAACAAATGTAAAAAAAAAAAAAAAAAGAGAGAGAGAAAGAAAAAAAACTATGAGCAAATTTGGAAAAGGATTGTGAATCCTTATCCCTGGGAACCGAAGCCAGCTCCTAAGGGTTTTGTCTATGCAGGCAGTAACTTAACTTGAGGAGAATGGAACATTATGGATATGGAACTAGTAGGATAAACACTGTGTCAGATGCCCATATTACAGTGTGGTTATTTGTCTTGCTTGGGGAGAGAAGCCCCCAAGGCCACTTTTCATACTAAAGTAATTGCTTCTCCATCTTACTGGGAAGGTATAAATGGTAAAACTGTTCTGTTATTGACAGAATTCAGGTAGGTGTGGGGGACAGGGGATTGAAAGCACTGCTTTGGGTCTGATTTCTGGCTCTCCTTCAGCGGTTCCTGTGCTTTTGGAGGTGGGATGCTGAATAGGTTTCAGACAACACATCTATATTCCTTTTCCTGGAGACAGGATTCATTTATTCTCAGCTGAAATACAACTGCAAAAGTGTTCTGCCAAGCTCAAGAAGTCAAAGGCAAACTTTTATAAATTATTGCTGTTATTTCATTGTGATATGAAGCTTTACTGGGCAAAAAGATGATGGTTTGTTGAGTACATTCAACAAGTAAATCTCGGATGACCAATCTCAACAGCTCTTGAACCACAAAATGGGTCATTAAGAGGTGTTAACTGCTTGTCACTGAAGGGATCCTGAAAAGATATTACATTTTGTCTCTGATTGCTTGCTATGAATCAGCAAAAGGTCAGGGCATTTAGCTATTTGTACATTCATGTCTGAATTCAGGCATTTATTTGTTTTGAGGCTTGTCCATCATTGGTAGCAGTTCAGGGATGTTGTTCCTCTGCATCCTCACCTGCTTTTCCTCACTGAAGAAGCTTAATATTTTTAGGTATTTAGAGATACTCCTTTCCACTACTAAAATGAGTCATACTACAAGCTGTTTTTTCCCTAAGACGGTTTGTGTCCTGCCTTTTGAAGATATTTTGAAAAATAATATTGCATAGGATTGTGTTGAATGAACTGGGGACTTGGGTTGTATATTTCCTTTAGTTGGGTGAATTGCCTGTGACTAAAAATAGTGCTTAGAAAAATCATGTGTGCCTTTTTATCCACTTTCTCCCTGTTGCACATATCTTCCTTTCTACTCCTTCTCCTTTTGGCCTTTGTGTGCCTTTTCTGAAACTTGATATAGTCCACTATTAATTTCGCTTCTCATTGCTTTGTACTATTTTTTCCTCCAGATTTTCATTTCCAATTCTCTTCCCAAGAACAACACTTATCCCTAGTGTTGCTGCCTGTTTCATTAGTCTCCCTTTCAGTCTGCCTTCCGTCTTGTTTGCTAAATCTATTTTTCTTCTCAACTGCTAGTCCAAGCATTTATTACTTAAAATGCATATTTTGAGGAAGTTGAACACTTTTTTTTTAATTCCTTCCAAAGATTTAAGAGGTCTTCTGGCAAATATCTTTGAACAGAAAGAGAAAATTGAAAAATCTGCCAGTACTTCTGTAGCATCATTACCAGAAAGCAATGGAGATGTGTAAGCAAATATTATTAAAGAAGATTTATTCCCATGCTTCAAGAGTCCTTATAATGAGATTTATCAGGTTAAAAAATCAACCATGGGTTTTTAAGAGTCCTCGAAACTGACACAGAATCATACAATCATTATGGTTGAAAAAAGACCTTCAAAATCATTGAGTCCAGCCTGCTAATCCAATCCCCCAGTGTCTCATCTACACGTTTCCTGAGCACTGCCAGGGACGGTGAGCCCAGCACCCTCCTGGGCAGCCTGTTCCAAGGCTTCACCGCTCTTTCCATGTAGAAATTCCTCCTAATGTCTAAGCTGAACCTCCCTGGCACAACGTGAGGCCATTTCCTCCTGTCCTGTGGGTAGTTACTGCGGAGAAGAGCCCGACCCTGCCTCATTGCAGCCTCCTTTCAGGTGGCTGCAGAGAGCGATCAGGTCTCCCCGGAGCCTCCTCCTGTGCCCACTGAATACCAGCACCCCCAGAGCCTTCTCTGCCCCCAGCTCTCCAGCCGGTCGCGCTGCATGGGGTGCTTGTGACGCCAGTGCGGGACTCGGCTCTTGGCCATGGTTATCGCACACGGGCTGTGTGATCACCCTCAAGATGATCTTCTCCATAACCTTCCCTGATACCGAAGGCCTATAGTTCCCTGAATCCTCCATACGACCCATCTTGTAGATGGTTGTCACACTAGCCAGTGTCCAGTCATCTGGGACCTTCCCTGTTGACCACAACCGCTGGTAGATGGAGGAGAGCAGCTTGGTGAGCGCTTCTGCCAGATCCCTCACAACCCTTAGGTGGTCTCACCTGGTCTCATAGACTTGTGAGTGTCCAGGTGGAGTAGCAGGTCACTGGCTGTTTCCTCCTGCATTATGGGGAGTTTATTCTGTTCTCCATAGGTGTCTTCCAAAAACAGACATGTGGTTTCTGATTTTGTGCTTGTTTCTGGCTGGGTTGTCGCTGTTGAAGATCTTGCTAGTCTTGATGCTTTTAGGTACAGTTTCTCCCTGGCTGCCCGCTGGAAATGTCTACAGAAACATTTCAGGAGCTCTGTTTTCAGCTTAACAGACCTTCTGGCTATGTGTTGTTGGCACACAGGGATGCCATTCAGTTGGCAGTTGGGAGAAAAGGGAAGTCCAGCCTTTGACCCAGGAGCATCTCTGCTGCATGGTTGTCTTCTGGCATCGGCACAAGAACCATCTGCCTCCCCATGTGCCAGTCTAACCCAGCAGAGAGAAAGTGATAGAGCCCCGT